TTTGTTTTACTATGGTTGCAAATATCAAAAAATTTCTATATGTGACAGGGCACCAGAGTTAAGTTAGGGTTTTTCAAAATGCTGACACGCTGAGCTCAAAAGGTTCGCCATCACTGCCCTAGTGTCTGTGTCCATTGGTTATGCTCATATGCATGCATACAAGTCCTTTGGTTGATCTCTTACCCTCTACCCCATTAAAAATATATATATGTATATATTTTTAGCAAAGGTGAAAATTTATTGAAGAACAAGTAAGGGGAGGGGGAAAGAGTCCCCTAAAACATATTTTTATTGATTTTAGAGAGAAAGGGAGAGGGAGAGAGAACTAGAAACATCAATGATGAGAGAGAATCATTGATCAGCTGCCTCCTGCACGTCCCCTACTGGGTATGAGCCCGCAACCTGGGCCTGTGCCCTTGTCTGGAATCGAACCCAAGGACCCTTCAGTCCGCAGGCCGACGCTCTATCCACTGAGCCAAACCAGCCAGGGCCAAACAATTGTGCTTTTTGCTACTGGAAGGTCTTGCCTTCAGTTTGGGAGGAAAAAAAATTTGCACCAACCTGTGAAGCGCAATAAAGCGAGGTATGTCACCCATTGTGAGGTTTTCCTTCTTTATTTCTATTGTTGGCATTAAAAATGCTCCTGTTTCTTTAAGCGTGCTCCGGGTAGGGGCTGCCCCGAAACCGAGGCCCACAGGGAGCGCTCACTTGGCCAGCGGGACAGGCGGCAGGGGTCACAGGAGGCGGCCTCGGGCTGGCGGGCAGGAGACACAGGGCCCAGGCGAGGCGGGAGGCAGGGGGCCAGCTGTAGTGAGGGGTGTGTCCACGCTGGACCGGGACTGCAGCCTCCCCCTGTCTCCCGCCCCCCCTCTCCAGGTCACTCCGGGTGACCCCGCAAGTGGCAGTGGCGTTGCTAAATGGGGACGTGCAAAGCTCCCAGGATCAGCGGGAGCCTCCGCGTGGGTGCACGCTGGGTGCGCTGGGCAGGCCCAGGTGCAGCCCTGCAGCCTGACCTCCGAGCTCTGCACCC